TTATATACTCTATATTTGCCTATGAGTGACGAACTAGTGATAGCTAAGGGATTGATTTATGAAGGAGGTAAATGCTTCAGGACAACGTCTCTGCAGAAAATATTACCAAATCAATTCCTATCATAGCAATCTCCTATATTTTTATCTTGAAGAAAAATTCCATCGGAAGATAATATATAATCTTCCCATTTTGTTAATCAAAGTATAGAAAATATAAATTTAAAATTTACATTTCTCAGTCAATCGATGGTACTTGGTTATAGTAATTAAAAACTTAATATAGTTAAACTCGTTTGACAAGGCATTTAAGTGACTGCATTTGCATTTGGGAGAATTATCAATAATATCATTAATAGATCAATTAAGGCTACCTATAAAATTATATATATTTTTCTAATTTTCTTGGTTGAAATGATCAACAATAATTTGATCTAAAATCTATGATATAAAATAGTGATGTTTTGAATTTTTTATAAGTTCATAAAATATTTTATATCTACATGACTGACATGAATTCATTTCAAATTTCTGCCTCACACTTCCACTGCTCGCTTTGCATAGCTTACTAATTGTGAGCTATTCGACATATATAGTTGTGACATTTTAAATAATTAAAATGGCAAATTAAAGCTGGCCGAGGCAAGCTCTGCTTGAGTAGCAGCGAGCAGAGCTGTTGAAAGAGCAGTGACACGGCACAGGTTGCATGCAACGCTCTTGGGCATAGAATTCAATTGCATTTAATGCATTGCGCCTCAACCCCAGCAACTGCAACTGCTGCAGTGGCTGTTCTCTTGCTCACCTTCTGCCTGCTCACCTGCCTCTCGCATCTCTCGGCAACGTCTCTGACGACATTCGCATCGGCTGACGTAAGAAGCTGTTTGCTGTACCCCACGAGGCGACCCCAAAGGGGCATTCAATGGGCGTGTATTGATGAGCGCCTCGTGTGCTCCATCTCGTAATGTTCACAAATTGCAAAATCATGTCATAAACAACCGCAGGCTAACCGGCCCAAAAATACTGAAATTCATATATATTCTATATATATGTATATGTATATATATGCTACTGGTCAGCCAATGGGCAGCTGTTTTTACAGCCCCATCAATTGCACCCTTAGATATAATGAAAGTAATTACATATCAATTGTTCCTATTGTTTCTATAGCTAACATCAAATGAAGTTAGTTTGAATAAGTTAAGAGAATAGAAAATCCATTTACTGCATAATCTGATGAATCTTCACTGAAAGTGGGGCATACCCTCCAATGAGAAACCCTAACCTAAATATTAATGCAGTAAAATAGACATTGTAGATTGAATGGGAAACTCCCAAGAAAATCGAAAATAGCATCAATTGTTCCGATTGTTTCAATAACAATTCAGATATATAATTACTAACAAAATGGTTATTCTATATTCTGCATTTTGCTGAGGGTATTTCGAAAGTCGGTCATATCTTCTAAAGAGAAAATATAACATCTTTATTAATGTAGTGAGATAGAGATCATGAAATAAATAGCAAAAGGAGGGAATGGCTATTACAAGTTCGCTTTAGATAATATTGATTGAAAACATATCTAAAGCAAAATGAAAAATTCACTTTTCAAACTCCGTTTATTCTTCTGTTTGCTAAAAAACGCTAATATCTAAAAAAAAAACAAAAAAAGTATTAAATAAGACAAATTATGTGCATATATTCATATTGAAACGACAATCTTTCCCGAAATATCTTAAAGAACAATGAATGATATGATAGCGATAATAATTATCAATTTCGATAGTCAACAAAAATTCTCTACAATTTCCTGAACTTTAAAGGACCAAAAGAGAACACAGTAACATACCTATATATCCACACAACTCTCAACGACAAATACAAATCCATTACAAGACCCCATTCACTCTTTACACCACTCATACGCTTTGCATGTGCCCCGCAGCGTTGGCTATAACGTGTACAATGAGCCAGCCGTTGTGACATCGGCCACAGCCACCACCTCCACCTCATCGACATCCACAAAAAGCGCATTGATAGTCCATCAAAAGTCGCCGGCCTATGGACACGTAAGCAAATACGAAAGTTACTTCAATATGTCGCCGGAGCAACAGCAACAACGGCAGCCACAGTCCCACCCACAGCCACTGACGCCACAGGAGAAGTACGTGCTATATTTGCAGCAGCGCATGAAGCAACAAAGGCAGCAGCAGCAGACACAACAGGAACGCTTACATCATCATCATCATCATCAGCACTCGCATCACAATCATCATCAGCAACAACAGCCTGAGCCGAGCAATACGAAGGCGGCCAAGCACCCACACACTCCACACACACATACCCCCACAGCCGAACCACCATCAGCATCGCACCACAGTCAATTACACAATTACAACGGGCTCTTCGGACGTCCGGAGACCCCTGAGCAACAGGTGCTGCATATACCGTTGCGCGCCCTCCTGAACCCACTGCAAGAGCAGCCAAAGGACACGCTGCTCGGGTAAGTCTAGACTCACTGCTGCCGCATTAATATATCAATATTCTTGAACATATGGCCTGGGGTTCTTGAGTTCCTTCTAGTTGAGTTTTGTTTACTATTTGTAATACATGCTGTTTTATTTCCTTAGATCTCCCGCTCCACCACAGTTTATCGATTACCTCATCGATGGACCGCGACAATCACTGGATGAGGAACAACAACAACACCAGCAGCAACAGCAACAGCAACAACCCCAACAGCAACAACATGCCTACATCCTGGTCACCACCACAGCTCCTTATACGGATCATTCGCTGCGTCTTCCGGATTTACCACCACCCACCCGCCGCCCACATCTGTACAAACAGCAGCCCACGCTGCGCCTACAGCTCGTGACTCCAGTGCACAAATATCAAGCCACCCGTCGACCCGTCTACATCAGTCCGCCCACGCCCAGCGAGACTGTCAAGATAACGCCCAAGTACGTCTATGTGACCAGCAAACCGCCAGCAGGCGCTGTCCACAGCGAGCAGCCCCAGGCACCGCCGCCCATTAAACTGAAACCCATTCACAAATACGCCCAAGAGCGACCCCATGCGCCGCCTCGACCCAGTTCGGCTCTTGCACCGAACGACATTGATCAGCTGCCCGACATACGCACCTCATCGCTGGCCGAGATCCTGCACAAGCTGCAAGCGAGCAACCACCTGCCGCAAACCCTCACCCCGGACAACATAGACAACTCGATCAAGACGCTGATACGCATTCTACAGAATCTCAAGCGGACCCAAACAATTGTGACCGATCCGCCACAGCATCACGAGATCAAGCCTAGCAGCAATCTCGATTATGATTACAACACAGACAGCGAAGAGGCGCATCAGACGCCAGCCAAGACGGCGGGCCATGTCGATGCGGATCTGCTGAATCTAAAGGGACCAAGTGAGTTGATAGCAGAAAAAGAAAGTCAACTCTCACTCATTTATCCACACATAGACTCGACTTTACTCCAACTCTTCTTCTTAACCTCTCTTAACAAAATTTCTTATTTTATAATTTCTAAGATATTTGTATACTTTTAAACCCCTGTTCCATTCCAAAAAGTGAATTCAGTCTACAAATTAACCTTTAAAAGTTTCCTTCAAACTTTAAACCATATATAACTCTACCCATAGATAAACATCCTGGTCCTAGCACAGGTCGTGCGGGCATTGATTATCCCAACTATGCGGAGATTCCGAAGACCAGCTTCGAGTGTACTCAACAGCGTTACAAGGGTTTCTTTGGTGATCCGGAGACCAATTGCCAGGTGTGGCACTACTGTGATCTCAACGGCGGCAAAGCCTCGTTCCTGTGCCCCAATGGCACCATCTTTAGTCAGGTAAACTAACATAACTCTCTCAATCGAAACGAATATAGCAAATTCTCTATTTACAGATTGCCCTGACTTGCGACTGGTGGTTCAATGTGAAGTGCTCGACGACTTCACAGTTATACGTGTTGAATGAGCGTCTGTACAAGTATATCCTGCCCTTCAATCCCAAGTTCCCCGAGGATTACAATGGGCCCATTGTGGATAAGTAAATACAACGCATAAACAATTCATAGCTAAACAATTAACAAACATTTCAACTGCTATTCCAGATATTTGGCCATGAAGTTCCAGGAAATGGAAGAGAAAATGCGCCTGGAAAAGCAGCGCAAAGCCAATCAGCTAGCGGAAAAGCCGGATGCCACTGGCGAAGCATCCACGCCCGCATTGCCCAAGAACCACAAGGCGTCGCCCAAACATGGCAGCGGCATCAATGCACAGGTCTACGAGCAGAGCTCGGAACGTAATCTGCTCATCGATGATGAGATTGACGACATCTCGGAGCGTGGCACCTTCGACACCTATGGCCAAGCGCCAACAACGATAATGGCTCCAGTCCCAACAACAACGCCCATATTGCAAGACTCTCAAACCCTGGGACATAGGCCGATAGTAGTCTCATCAACACCTGGACCAGATCTGTCTGATGAGCTGGACACGCTGCCAACGTTAGCAAGCGATCCAGAGCTGAATTTGGAGTCTGAACTAAGCGTTGACTCGCCAGTGAGCAGCGAGGAGGTGGAGGAGAAGCTGCAAAATTTACGTGACACCAATTCGGCTGCCGGCCAAAAGCAACTCGAGACGACAAAAGTGAGCGTCGAGAAGCAGGAGGTGATTGAGATTAAAACAGATGGCTCAACTGGACACCTAATGCCCATAGAGCAGGCGAGAAACTGAGATAGAGAATAAGAGAGCCTGTGGCTGAGAGCATGCTTGCCATATTTGTAATGAGAGTTCTTGTACTTGTTCGTTTTTCGATTGCGTATGCGCATTAAATTATTCTTAGCGAGCGACTACTGTAAATAGCTAACTGTAAATGAAACAAAAACTATCTAACTATATATACTCTATAGAAAACACTTAGATATACGTTTTAATTAAAATAAATGCAAAGTATTAAGTAAAATATGTACAGAATTTATATTCACTCACCAGCTGAGCATTGCTGATTTGCAAGAGAGCCGCATCAATGGAATTTAGCGAAGATGGAATTTCGGCAATATAGCGATGGTTCTAGAAATGGATTTTGATATGCGGAATTAATGGGGAATTAAGGTTTTTTTTTTATAGAATTTATAGACTACTTATGCTGAACCGAGTGTCGTCTCCTACTCACCATTTCGCTCACTGTGCATGTCACATGATTGGCATGATGCCGAATGGCGCACGTTTCGCAGCTGTTGCGTTTGCATGAGGTGCAGAAGACGGGGGCCGGCACATTGTGCACGTTGCACATCAGCTGGACGGGCATACGAAAGATTTCATTGCCGATGCGAAGGCCGATGCCGTTGCAAGAGTGCTGCTTATCGTCCAGGGGCTGAAAGAGGTGCGTCTTGAGGACGCGACTGTGCTGATGCACCGTTTCGTAGCAGCGATGGCAATAGAATGCATTGCACTGCGTGCACTCGCCTCGGGCCGCACTGTGGCCGCATTCGCTGCATTTGGTCTCCAGCACGATGTCATTGGCCAGCGAGGAGCAGATGAATGATTTATTTAAGGCATTCATCGAATAACGATTATCATACTCCAGGCTATTTGTCTCGCCCAACACGTAATAGTTTAGCTCATAGAAGTCGCATATGTTGCCAATATTTTTGCCATTAGATTCCTTGGCAATATAAATGGGTAACGCTGAGCTGGAGCAGACGGCGCACTTGAAGTCCTTTTGCTGGTAATGTTTTGAGATGCAAAATTCGCACATATGATGACCACAGGGTAACAAAAATGGGCGACGATAATCTGTATTAATGAAAAATTATGTGAATTCGCCGATTAATTAAAAGAATAAATAAATAATATAATAACTTAAATATAATAATAAATAAAAATAATAAGTAGTAAAAATTATTTAAAAAATAATAATAATAATAATAAAAAATCCCTTGCCTTTAAAATAATATCCCTTCACATTTCATTTCTGCTTCAATAATAATTCCCTTTGCTAGGCAATAACATATGCTGTCCTGAGAAGCAACGCAAAGCAAAGAGACCCGCACACCAAATACACACAAAATAGAATAAGACAAAAGATCTGTCATATTAAAACAAAAGCTCTTACTCAATTTACAGTTACTGTATTTTCAGCGCAACACAAAACGTTTGCCATCATTAATTGCCCTTCATATTTCCTGATTCAATAAAAATTCCCTCCAACAAAAATATGTTGTGCTCGTCTGCAGCGCATATGTAGAAAGACACAAAAACTAGAAAGCCACGCATGTAAACACACGCAAAATAAAAGAAGAAAACTATCGCAATAAAAAAAAGCCCTTACTCAATATTCTATCTTCTCAACATTTGGCCTTCATACAATAAAAATTCCCTCTCTGTTTAGAAGCAGCATAAGGGCGAACTCGCAAAATTCTACGAGTCACACATACATCCATAGACAAAAATAACGGTTCGCCGCATACACTAACGCACGCCAGAGAAGTCTGCACACACACACAAGTGCACATCAATTTTTGCCCTCAGGCGCCCTAAATTTTTGTACATTTCTGCTCCTGGTTTTTTATATCTGCCTTTACTTACCATTAATTAAAAACTATTTTTATATGTACAACTTACCAGCAGACGCCCCTTCGTTGGTATATTTGTGCGAATATTCGCGAATGCATTTTGGACAGCGCAATTGACTGCGCAAATTGTCCACCACAAACTTGCGATCAAAAATATTTATTTCGTCGTCGTCGGCCATCATTTTCTGGTTTTTTATTTTTTATTTTGCTGTTCACACAGCGTGTTTGCTGTGAAACAATTTTTAACTCAAAATGTCGGCGAAACTTCCCCAAAAAAATTAAAGCAACTAAATTGACCGGCTTAACTGAAGTGCGCACAAATATGAGTTGTGAAAACAGTGCTGGAAAAGCGCGCGCTGATCACTACTGGTTCATCTGGCAAATCAGTTGTTCGCGAACTGAAATTAGTATGCTGTTAAGGCGAATGAGAATATTGAATATTAAAAGTATTTACGAATCAAATTAAGTTTACCACCTTTGGATTATATTTTATTTTATATATTTTTCAAAACAAGAAAATAATTGTATGCGTAATATATCATTTTATTGATAATTTTTTATTCAGTTCATCGAGCTAGCACTAGTTCTTAGAACTAAACATCGTGACCATTGAGCTGGCTAGCAAAATTGTGCTAAAAGGAGATAGCCTGTGTTTTGCAACAGCTATTGGGTTTCTTCTAAGCTTAAAAAAAGTTGCAAAGTATTTCTTGGTTTTCTATATTCAAAAGAACAGATGAATTTTAAGTTCCTTTTATATTTTATTGCATTTTACACGACACCAAATTCAAACCAAAACCATTGAAAATTATTTAATAAATGTGTACATTATTTTTTTTTAGCCAAACATGGAGTCCATCAAATTATCTTGGCGCAGCCGTCGATTGGGCTCGTCCTGCTGGAAACGTCGCAGCTCCTCGTATACCTCATCGTCCGTTTCCTATGGGGAATATTTATATTGAGGTTATGTAGAAACTTTTTTATAAATATAAATACATTTGTAATACTTACAAAGATATAACGGCAAATGGGACATGAATTGGCCTGTAAAGGTGCGTATATTTAAGAATTTACATAATGTTTTGTAGATAATATAAATTTTCTCATTTACCTTCTTTAACCACAGCAAAATGCATTCCTCGTGGAACTCATGTTTGCATGGCAAAACTTTGAATTTGGCGCCAGCTTCGGCCGGCTCCTTGCAGACGGAACACTCGAAATCTGGCTTCACCTCGTCGGCTGCAATTTCATGGATGGGCAGCGCGTCTATAGCTCTCTTCGATGCCTCCGGCACTTCGATCTCCATATCGATGCCATTCATTATGGCCAGGACCTGAAGACGTCGATAGTTTCGATCGAAATCGTTAGCGCCCTCCGGTCCCGTGGGCGTATGTCCCAGCTCATCGAAGTAATCGGCCATGGTGCTCGCCGTGCTCTGCAAGGTGTATCAGAATTTGGATAATTTTATATATATACGGAAATATATATTTACGATCTAGGCGGAATAAAACCTTTTTTGAAATGGGTTCGTAGAGCCAAATGCCATTTTATTATTTATATCAATGTCAAATTAAATCGTATACAATTTCTCTCCATTAATGTAAGTACAATAAGTCTTCGACAACATATGTATATATACGATCTATATATAGTTGTCACTGATCTGCGCCTATGGCTTAGTATTTCGTAGCACTAGGAATATTTAAGAGGTCTTTGCATTTAAAATGTGTGTTTTAAGAGCTAGATGTTTAGTTTAAAAGTACTCTCCACTAGTCTAAGATTACAGGCAATACTGGCATATATTGGGAGTGCTACAGACTATAGTTCCTGTTCCGCTTTTACTGTATTTATAAAAAAGGTATCGCAAATTGAGCTGATGATAAAATAGTATCTAAATATTTGTTTAAATGCAGTAAAAAATACTTTAAAAACGAAATAAACTAAATTATATTTTAAAACAACAAATTGTAAAAGCAATAAGAATTCATATTTTTTTCCAAAATAAATTATACTAAATTAAAATATAAATATATATGTATATTTTAAAATTTTTAAATATTCCTTTTTTTTAATAAAAAAATATTGATTTTGGAAAGAGAAATCTAAAAATAAAGTTGAGATGGCTTATAAATATTGTTAAAATTTCAAGTGCTGATTTTTTTTTTATAATTTAAAAACTAATATTGTTCCCAATACTTAAAACATATTTCAAATTTCCAATATCTAAAAAAAATCCCTTTTGAAAGAAAAAAACACAAAATAAATTTGTTGTTCTCATCATATCTTTTCATATTTTTTTTTCGATTTTTTCATTTTTTTTTTTTTTTTTACTATAAGTATGTGGTTTAATATTCATTATAATTATGGTATATATATGTGTGTATATATATAGGTTTTACTGTACTTCATGAACAATTAAATACAATCTTTAGCAGACAAAATATTACTAACGCTAATTGGTAATTATTTAGCTGTTATCGAAACAACTGTACTTCATCGAACAATATTATTTAAGATTTAATGGGGGCAAAAGGGATAAGAAAAAAAAAATAAAACTTGAGCTTAAACTAGAGAATAAATTAAAAGATTCCCGTAAATCGGGTTTAAATAGTAGCCGCTACAAATGTACATATATTATATATATATATATGGATATATATCTATACATATATGATTTTGTAGGGTTTGTAATATATAGTATATATATATCTGTTTTCTATATATGCAGAAACAATAACGAATAAGTACACGATTTTCGATTTAGCTTGGATGCTGCGACTAACTACGGCAGGTATTTCTTATTTTTTTTTTTTCGGGAGGTAGGACTGCAAAAGAGGGTTCTATGAAGTAATTACAATGCGCAGAGCGAAAGAGATAGAGATAGTGAGGGAGACAGAGGGATACAGTTAGATAGAGAGTGAGTGAGATAGTGAGAGCGAAAGAGACAGATACAAATAGCTAGTATGATAGTATAGGCATATATAATTTCTATAGTAAACGAACGGCTTGCGTTTTTCTTTTCTTTTCTCTCCGATCTATAACTAGCATTAGCATTTACAGTTATAGTCTAGTTTCTAGTCTATATAGCTAAAAGCGGCGCAGGCAACATAACGGTAGATGACCGTAGGGGAGGACATTAAGGTGGATATGTGACCGTATCCTAGTCCGTTATGGATATCTGCGCATAGCCCACAAGCGAGCGTTCGTCGGGCGTCTCGCCCGGCTGTACGCCGGAACTCAGCTGGAACGTTATTGTCTTCATCGTGTCGGATTGGGCAATCAGCTGATCCAGATGCACGGCCATCGGTTGTGTGTCCAGGGCGTCCACCAGGCCCGCATCCACCAGTTCCGTGGCAATACCCTCTGCCGTATCCTTGCCGACGGCAAACTCGAAACGGATATCGTGCAGTTCCCGTCGCAGGTTGCGCATGCGCAACACCAGATTCACGGGTGGCGCCTCGCCGGCCGCTTCGCTGGGCAGCGGCATTTGGGCCACACCAGCGGCCAGCTCCTGGGCGGCACCAGCAGCAGTTGCAGAAGCGGATGCGGGAGCAGGTGCAGCGCCACCTGGCGTCATTGTAGTCGAGGATAGGCTGCGTGTTATATCGGGCGTTGTCTCATCCCGATCGCTGTCCGAGGAGTCGGCGCGTTCGAGTCGATTGATCGGACGATCCTCGGACTCGGAATCCGATGAGGGATTCTTGCGTCCGCCAGTGCCGCTGGCATTGTCCTCCTCCTCACTGGACCACACCCATTCGCCGGTGACCGTGCGATGCAATCGGCCCGAGGCGCCCGGCTGACGTTTGGCTGCCTTGTGGACGCGTGTCTCCATGCTGGGGCCGGACTGGAGCAGGGTTTGTGTTAGATATTTACGATCCTTGGCCTTCTTGAAGAAGGCATGCTTGAGCAGCTCGCTGGCAGTCGGACGCTTCGATGGCTCCTTTTGCAGGCACTCAACGATCATCTTACGGAATGTCTTGCCATAGGCCTTATACTGATCCTTGTCCTCGGCGCCCGTATCCAAGGTGGGCGGCTCATTCTGAAGCGTCAGCATGAGGACCTTCATCGGTGGATATTTGTGATACGGCGCCGTGCCCGTGGCCATCTCAATGGCCGTAATGCCAAACGACCAGATGTCCGCCTTGAAATCATAGCCATGATCCTGTTCCATCACCTCCGGTGCCATCCAGCACGGTGTGCCCACAAAGGTGTGCCGCACCTTCTGCCGGGACAGATCCCGGCCGGTGGCCAGCCAGGCGCTGACACCAAAGTCAGCGATTTGTATGGTGCCATCGTCACCGATGAGTATGTTGCCCGCCTTGATGTCCCGATGGATCTGTCCATTCGAATGGAAGTACTCCAGGCCCTTGAGTACCTCCTTGAGCACGGTGGCAATCGTTGCCTCATCGAAAACGCCCTGCTTGCAGTTGGACGTCCGCATCTTATGCTTGATAATGTCCAGCAGGGAGCCACCCTCGAGCAGGCGCAGCACCAGCCACAGCTCCTCGCGCACCACAAACGATGTGTGATAGGTGACGACGTTCTCGTGATTGCACGAGGACATCGCCTGGATCTCCTTGAGCAGCTCGTCCATCGAGGTGTTCCACTTCTCCAGATTGATGCGCTTGATGGCGCACTTCTCGTTCTTCGGTATGCAGTAGGCGCCATGCACCACCGCCGTGGCGCCCACACCAATCACATCCCTCAGCTCGTAATCGTCCTTGGAGTTGGGCCAGGGCTGTTTCTCTGGCGCCGTGGCGCCCAATCCAGCTGCAGCCGTTGCAGCTGCTGTTGCTGCAACATTGTTGCTGGACAGCGTGGCAGGTATGGAAGTCATGCTCTTGACGGCGTGCGGGGGCGGTGTTCCGGGACGCTTGCTGCGACTGAGTTGCGGTTGTTGCAGAATCGCCGGCTGGCTCTGTGAACGCTGTGTCGCTTGTCGCTTGGGTTGCTTGGCTATAACAGCAACGCCCGACTTGATTAGCTTCTGTCTCTGCTCTCTCCTCTGCTCGGACTGTTGCCCAAACTCAGTGTTGCCTTGACTCTGGCTCGCTGTGGCACTGGGCTGTTGTTGCACGTTGTAGCTGACCGAACTGGCGCTGTGTGTCAGCTGATGTGAATCTGTTTCCGCCGGCTGCTGCTGATCCGCCGACTCCTGCTGTTGCTGCTCCGTTTGTTCCCTCTTGCCAAAGCAGTCAAAGATACGGTTCTTTTCACCGTTTGAATCTTCAGTTACTTTGATACAATTGTTGTTGTTGTTGTTGTTGCTAATGTAGTTGCTGTTGTTGTTGTTGTTGTTGTTGGCGAAGTTTGCAACTTCTGCAATAGAGCAAAAGAGAAAGAGTTACGTATAATAGTGGAGCACCTTGGTACCAGAAAATGCGAAGCAATTTAAGGTAAAAATATTCCTACATCAATATTGATTGATTGGAAATGATCAATTGATTATTTTAACATGCATTTGAAAGCGTTACAAATTTATTCATTTGAAATCCACGCGCAAATGTGAAAAACCGGTGAAAGTCTACGAGTTTCCAAAGGGATACATCAACACATCAACTGATTGATTGGTTGACTAATTTACATTTAGCATGCATTACAATTGGTGAAATGGGGTTTTAAGTTTTCGGAAGGAAGACACTTTTAAAGGGATACATCTATACATCAACTGCTTGATTGATCTAATACTATTATCATGCATATAAAGGCCTTAAAATCGCATATTAATCAATCAATATCCTTATACGGAATAGGCAAAGAGTAGAAGAATTATGGGTTTCTAAGGGAGAATAAGTAATATGATTGACAACAAATGTGTCAATGGGGAGAATAAAACTTTAATATTCTAAGGGAATACTTATTAACGAACTTTATATATATCATAAAGTTATTTAAATATTTTATTTTATTTTATTTTTTTTTTTTTTTCAAACTAACTTGAAAATTTTTGAGTAGAAATGGCTGATTGAAAGAGTGATTGAAGGAGTCTGCAATAGACTAAGTAACTAATATCAAAGTTCAGTCAGTTTATCAAGTGTAATTAAAAGCCCCTAATTCACATATTAAAGTGAAAAATAGGTGATAATAATATAAATAAATATATGTATTTCTATATAACATTATTATAAAAATAAACCAAAATCAACTAGTAGGTTTTTAAAAAATCAAATATTACAGAAACTTTAATTTGAATTACAAAACTCTCAACTGTGCCCACTGTGCGAACTCTTACAAGTACAGCTGAGCGGCGCATTTGATTTCTTTTATTTTGGCTAAAAAATATGGGGCCGAGAGGGAATTTACTTGCACTCGCAGCCGCTCATAAAGTAAACAAAGTGTTTACACCCAGCAGCACATGCCGCCGCCACACACAAACATAGACGCACACACACACACATACATACATACATACAGCTGAGAAGACCTGCTGCCCTGCTAATGACTGATAAATAGAGTAAAGGCACAAATTTTTCCACAACCAGGCAAACTGATAAGCGCTGTGTACATACATACATACATACATACATACATATATTTTGAATTTTTATGAATCAACTGCAGTTAAGTAAGAGCGTGCTCACAATTCTGGACGCTGACTGTACAACAGTAGCGGCAAATAGAGTGCGCACTGTGTACACTTACTCTCTTTACAATTAAATCTCTCTCTCTCTCTCTCTGTTTCCATCTATCCCTCTCTTCGTTGCGATGATCCGTTGTAGCATAAAAATTGACGCTCGACGCAATCAGTTTGGACTTTGCGGAGGTGTGCGAGGGACCAATGACCGCATTCAGTTATTTTTAGATCACCGCAACAACAACAACGAAGTGTAGAAAGTGCAATTAAGTATTCAGTTAACTGTTTATATTAAACATGGAAAGAGTTTTGCGCTCTTGCTCGGGCAGTTGCAACTGTTTTTTTTTTTTTTTTTTTTTTTTTTAATTTAATAACAGTTAGCTGGAAGAGAGCAGGTTGCTTTTTCTCTTTAAAGGGAGTGGACTGTATCTGTAGTTACGATGGGCTAATATCTAACGAAATAATAATAACAATAAAAGTATTTTTTATCTAGAACGCGCCATTATTGATAGTGTCAAAAATAAAGACGATTCCAATTTCGAACTAACGGAAACCATTTGCCGAATTTCGCCATAATGAGAATAGCAAATAAAATGCTCGAAAGCTATAAAAACAATATGTTTACACAACAAACAATGGGGTGGCAGGAAAGGGGGCTGAAGGGTGCTCTCGTACAGGAAATATATATGTATTATGTATGTACATATGTAAATATTTGTTTCTTGTTGCTTTGGATAAAGCCAAGCACTTGAGCGATGGTATTGACGCCTTTATGTGCATGCTAATTTAAGCGGAATCTCGCGATGAAGGAAAAAAACGAACTTTTTTAAAATAGCAACTAGACAAAACAAAATAAAAATAAAATCGAAGAGCCGAAAGCAAACGTTGCCAGGCGCCGCTAACTAAAATTCACAATGAATCAACATTAGAATCGCACGTTAGCCAAGCAGCTGATGGGTTGAGTGGGCGGTGTTGGAGGGAGGGGCATACCGCTCGCACGATCATGTGAAAATGATAAGCAGCGCGTTGTGTCACACGACCGCGCAAAGGAAATTGTCTCGATGGGCGGCGATCACAAGAGTTCAATTAGTTTCGATTAAGGCCCTGCATTTCGCATTTTTATTGATTTCACGCAAAAGAAATCAAAACAATTTACGCAAAACTATGATGATTTCTTCATTGCTACGGTAATTACATTTTGCAGTAGATGCGCCTTCTTTCTCTCTCTCTCTCTCTCTGTCAATATATCTCTGTTCGTCTCATACACACGATGGACGATCGACGTTGGCAGCAAAACGCACGCGCGCGTTTTTTTTCTTCTCGTTCGTACTTTTGGTTCGTTTTGCTTTACGCTTTGGGTATCGCTTCGCTCGACGCGATATCGACGCGTTTGTATTCAACGCCGCACAACAACTGAGCGTATGTTGGCGCAGCCCGAAGCGGAATAGCCCCCAAAAGGCGAAGCGTGGAAACGTCAGCGCCAACGTCAGCAGCAGCAGCAGCAACAGCAGCAGCAGCAGACAGCAACGGCAACAGCAACAACGCGTAACAAGTGTGTAAAGAGACGAGTGTAGAGGCAACAGGCAAAAAGAAGAAAACAACAACAACGTACATTAGAACTACAAAAATAAATGTATTGAGCAAATATCAACAGCTAGGCAGAAAGAAGCGGGGATGGGTGGTGGGTTTGTTTTACAGTGCACTGAGAGCGTAAGAATGAGAGAGGGATACGATAAAGTTGCACAGTGGAACACATAATCCCAATTAGGAAACAAAAAATAAATAAATCAAAACAGATAAAAATAAATTAAGCATTATGTGGCCAATAATAATTTGCTATTTATCAATAACTTAACTTTAAATATTTCCTATAAATGTTGTTTATTATTGTTTAATATTTTTGTTTATATGGTTTTATTTTGTGACTTTTTTGTATTAAAGTGAATATATTAATTAAGTTCCAATTGAAATTTTTCGTAGAGCATTTATAATTCGTATATATGAAGTATATAAAGATGTTCCATTTGGCTAGCGGCTTGTATCTTTTCTATACATTGTACTAGATTTTTTATCAACGCAACAACAACAACAATATCATAAGCAACGTTTTTATTTTTTTTTTACATATATAACAAACGAATACAATTAGCAACAGTGGAGCTCCAAAAAGTGGAGCATAGAGAAAAAGACAATATATTCACATAGCTATAACCCACAATAACCTCCATTCCCTTGATATACACACACATATATACATATACGTACATACATTGAGCTCTCGGTAAATACGTTTTGTATCTACATACGTAGAAAGAACCGTCATGGAAAATTCGTGAATCGCGTTGCTTGGCTGGCTAATGATTTAGTTCCCATGTCTCTAGCATATGGCATAGACGCATTTCTCTGACGTTCGCTAAAAATGTATTATATATATACATACATATTAATAAGTATATACATATTTGAATTATCTTTATCCACATTTATTTAGAGTCCAAATTTTCGCCACAAGGCGTTAAATACTGTGCAGCTTTATGCGCCCTCATCGACTTACATATCAAAATAAAAATTCGCACGCAAGAAAACATTTCTCATCTCACTGCGTGCGATTCTATTTATAGAAGAGTTCACCACTTCATGGTTTTGCATATCATTTCCAATGCAACACGCGTAAGGTGGGCAGGGGAATGGTGGAACTGTGGAACGGTAAATGGGATCGTGATTGGCTAGCTGACAATTGCTGTCAGTGTGAGTGTGATTGCATGGGTGTGTGCGTGCGTGGTGTGCGTATAAGCGATATGCGTGCCAGTTGCTTGACTGCGTGTGTGTGCCTGTGTATGTGTGTGTGTGTGTGTGTATGTATGTGTTTGTTGTGGCTGCGGCGTCAACACATTTTGCGTTTATTGCACTTTGCATTCGCAAATATGTATTTATGAGGTTTCTATTTTTAGACAAGGCATTTCATTCTGTACGATCTTTATAATTTCAATATTGACACATTAATGGGCTGCGATCGGTGTGCACAGTGCTTGAACTCTTTATGGGAATTGCACTTTGTATTTATATTTACTTGATCGATATGCAAATATTATGGATAGCGCCATTTTTAATTGAATATTGATCTAGTGAGATCGTATCTTTATAGGATGGGATTGACGTTTACATTTTCTTATTCTAGATTCTAGTTCTAATTCCATTCATAGTAATTTATTAAAATATCTGGGTTTACCAATCGTAAAGTTTAGTCGTATACCTTTATATCTCTCATCTTGGGTATTGAAAACTTAAGTATAAATTACTGATAAGTTTTCTGTATTTCTATGTTTAAAATTGAAAATATCTTGTCTTTGGTGTCTTAGACTTATAAATTTGTGTTCAATTTTTATTTTCTTAAATAAATTGTGTATTCTATTTATAAGCCCAGTTGTTGACATTTCAAGTTTTCAACGTTTAGCATGAAGATTAATTGATATTTTGCATTGCATTCGCTTAACATTTCGTTGATAAATTATCTACAAGCTGAAAATTAAAATCTCAAAACAAATCTCAATTTTTATTTTCGTAACAGCTAAAAATATAAACAAACTTGAGAGATATCATCTAAGTCGGTCAATATTTAGTATAGATATTAGAACAAGATTTAGAAAGACAACTAAAAGTGACCTTAATCAATTATATATATTTAATGTAATCTATATACTAAAATAAAATATATAGTTTCTATCGAATTCTAGTTTTCTGACCTTATATGACAATGCAACATGAAAGCTCTGTCAGTTATGCATGCACAAGTATGGATATTGTTGTTGACGAATATGCTCTTTCAAACACTATGTTGAGTATATTTATTCGTTTCTCATTGAGAAACTCACAACTTCTATATGTCTAATAATTTTGAAATGAGTACGAAGTAGTTGCTAATACTCTAATATATAAACCAGAACATTGCAGACGGGCGTTACCAATTCAGTATACTCATTCACGGCCCAATCGCTTTACGCTTTAACGGTTCGCCACACATCCGAAGGGCGCTAACATATCCGCCTATATTTGTATATTAATGACTTCATAGTTCCGGTAACTGAAAACTTGATTTTCAAATTCGAAAATCTTGGTTTTTATAATTTTATATATTTTATAAGTATAAGGGGGTTTATATAAGTAAATATATGTGAAAAAATTTGCATATCTCTATTTCCAGTATCGTTGAAATGGATAGCGGTCATACAGATACACGGACGAACGGGCAGACAGCTAGAGGGACATTGCACAAAACCAATACACTCATTTATTTTTCGTGAATGAGTATAAAAAAGAGCAGTTCAACATGACTTTAAAGAATTATATTTATAGTTTTAATTAAACTTTGAACGAGCTTTAATTAGTTAGTTGATCTTAATGTTAGTTTTAATTGTTTTATTATAAACTTATTTGTACAAGTTAATGAATCATTTATTGTTAAAAGCATTAGAGTCATAAAATTGAAAAATACAATTATATATTAGGTAAATATTCATTAAATTTTAAATATCTTAATTGGGAATCTTTAGGAAAGCCCCATTGTTTCACATAAATCAAAAATTATTTAAATGTAAATTTCATAAAAAAATAAACAAAACATTTTCACTAAATCTCATAAAATTGAGCATTTGCATTTGATCAAACTTTGTCTGGCTTACGAATGATAAATTGCACGAAATTTTAAGTCCCATCTAAGATAAGTATTGAAATAATAGTTTACATGTATTTTTAATGTTCTACTTTTATGTTCGGCACTTGGCACACTTTTTAAATATTAATGATATTTATTTTCACCCACTTTGCTTGAGGCAGATCATATTTAAGAACTGCATTTTGACAGCTTTCAATCACGAATTTATCGTCCGATTTTTTTTTTTATTTTTTTTAGAATTTTGTGACACTTGTTAAGACCGAGACTTGAGACTAACTGCGCCGTGTGGCATTTGAGATGGCTATTGAAAGCGATCTGATACGATCGCTGATTGAAATTGAGGCCGCAAGCGCCAGTCGCGTGCAATTTAGAAAAAACACACGAAAAAATTGCATTCGCAGCGCTTGATTAGTCGGTCGATCGGACGCCTGGTCGGTCGATCGGTCTGTCTGTCGCTCCTCCAGCGTGAAAATCACAAATTCGACTGAACTCCACAAATCGTTGTAATCAAACATTTTAAATGAACATTTCGTTAAGCAATAAACAACAATAAAAAATTAAATGAGCGCTACAAATGGCGGAACACGACGGCAGCGTCGATTGCGACGAATTCTACAAAAGCACAAAAAACAAGTACCCTAGTCGATAGTGAACGACTACCAGATACCCTGAATCATGAGCCGAACAACTGTTTTTACCTCAACAATTGGAAAGTTTGAAGTCTGTTTGTGGCTTAGAGAGATCTTTAAATATTCAGAATTTCCAGAGAATGGCTCGTAAAACTTTGGCGAATACGCTCGAACCAAGAGTTGGGAAATGGCCTAGATGTACTCAAGATTTATCTATGAAAAGAGCAAAGAGTTATCAAGATGATTTAGTAGTATATAAATGTTATTCAAATCAAGCTTTACAGTTCTTATAAAAATTCTATATGGGCAGAAAGTTGAATGGGGCTGGGTTAGATGAGTCAGGTCTTCCAGTTCTTATAGACAAAGTGAGCTAGATTGGCAAGGCTGTCTCAAGAATATTCAATATATAGAAGGTATCCCATGGTCTAGGTCACGCCTACTTCCAGTGCTTAAATATAGAGTTTCAACCGAAACATCATACCCTGCCTACTCATATTCAATGTTTGCAGGGTGTAACAAAAAAAAGTGCGAATTTTTTACCGCCTACATTGGGTATACGAGTGTGAGTGTGTATACGTATGTGAGTGCTATGCGTTAGCTACTCGTATTTCGTATGATTCCTATTCCTTCAACGACTACTACAGCCACAAAGTCAGTCATAGGTAGTTCGTATATCAGTGGGTGGATTTAGTGGTGGTTTTCACTGTCGAAATTTAAATTCCTTGACTTTTTGGCTTTGATTGAAAATTAAAATTAATTAGTTTTGATTTATTGACATGATTATTAATTATTATTTTTCTAACATTTGTGGGCGCTGCTTTTGACTCTTTTCAGGGACTTTAGAATGAATAACTTTTGTTCGTGGAAAACCCATTTTATTCGTAGGTACATAAAATATAAAACATATGTAAATATGTGAGTTAATACAATGGCAAATTGTGAAATTGAATAAACTTTGGAATATAAATTCTAAAGAGAATCTACAAAAACCTTTTTAAAATAATAATAATAATACAAAAATTGTAATTAGCGTAGTCTTTAAATCTAAATTGGCATTCATTAAAATCAAATTTAATATGCATTAAAATCTAATTTCATCTTCATTCAAATTTTGACATTTAACAAAAGCATATACCTACATATATAAATTTATATATATACTTATATATTGTTTGTTTTACGAAATTTTTATAATGGTTCTACAGTAAATGTAATTATATTTCAACATTGGGAATACATATCTAAAACTTTTTGTATGGTTTCATCTATGGTCTGCCTTTCACATGCCTTTCCATAGTGTATTCTATTTATTTATCTTACTTTTAAATAGTTAGGATCTTTGTGCAGCCCTGGTCTAAATACGTTTTAATTTTTGTATTTGCTCAAGAATTAGCAACTATTTTGTGGTTTTCTTTCTAAGTTGCGTAGTTATTATTAGTTCTAACAATTTGCATGCTGCCTTCAAGATATTTTTAAATTTATTCAGTTGCTTTCCCTCTTTTATTTTATTTTTTAAGCATGTCTATTAACATATCGAGCTTTATAAGATATGTATTACTTGAAATGTGTGAAATTTTGACAAACGGATTGACAACAGTAATACAGATACTGTGTCTATAGTGAACTTTTTTATGTCCACCCGCAACACGAGTCAAGTGATCAAAATTTATTGTAAAACTTAGCACTTGCGGGGAGAAAATAAGTAAACAGGTTGATTTCGAGCATAACCGACTGCGTAATGCTCGTTCAGGGTGATCAAATCGATTGCTGCTTGGATTTGCCTTTAATCATATGAACTGGAGGAGATATCAAACCCCTTCCTAAATCTGAAATGTATTAAAAATTTTCTGTTAATTTGTAGAGAAACTTAATCGTAGGACAATTGTTAGGATTCCATATGAATCACTATGAAAATATAGAATTTATCCACTTGATATTTCTTCAGTGGATTTACCTATATATCTAGAGTTCCAATTCCTAATTGCATAGCTTCACAAGCAGCCTTCATTCCGTCAGCTGTGGTAAGCCTATATACTCTCTTTCACTTTCAGATTCAAGTATAAACATTTCAATACGCAAACAATTAACGCCTGATTTTATATCACGTGTGTAGGCGGGTTAAAATGTGTTGCAAAAGTCTGCAAGGTTTTAACGACTCTCTCTGTCTTGGTCCTCCCCTCTCTGTCTGGGTCTCTCTTTCTTGATGGGTTGGCAAATATCTATTTTATGCATATCATTAACGGGGCATTAGCACATTGTAAAACGCCCCAGCAAGGAAACTATGAATGGCCGCAACGAAACGAGCCGATTTCAACGTGAATGAAAGACACATATATTGTATATATAATAGTACAACCGACAAGTATCCAACTAAAACAAATGGAACTAGAGATGTGTATATACGGGCGCCATGCAAATATCACTGAGTAGGGTATTTAGATTTCAATATGAATTTTGTAACGATATAGCTCTTTGAGTTAAGGATGTAGTCATATCTGTCTTCATCCTATATAAGATATACATTTTATTTTACATTACATTTTATCTAGTTTGGAAAAGTCCCTAATCTTAATATAGGTATTTTCGGTATTTCATTTATGATCATGGCATGATTAACAAACTTTTCCTCAAAATTCGGCAAAGATTTCTACATATATATTGTAAATTCTTTAATATCTAGGGTATACAACTTTTCACATACCCAAAAATAGTTCTACCTTGTCAGATTGTATTTTAGTATCTCTAGTATTTAGAAAACAGACTGAAATCTTAGACATAGAGAGTACGTTTAATAAATTATAAATATGCCTCGAGTGTCAGTTCATATTTATGTGAAACATGTTTCGTATGCTCGGTTCAATATGGATTTGGCTATGTTATGAAGCATTTTGGCCAAGGCAAGGACAAGCGTCTATTGCTCTCTGGAAAGGTGTGCAAAATATTGCAATATGCCAAAAATGATTTCGATATATATAGAATATATATGTTTAATTTTGATGAATGGGTTGCCTTGAGTATTAGTGAGGTTATATCAGTTGAATGAACTTTTAATATAGTCGGAAGTAACGTATAATTACGGCCATTAGGTGCATATACTCGACTGAAACAAGCAAAAATCTTTAGTGCCCGTTGAATGTGAGCTTTAAGCATGAGAAAATACATTTACATATAGATAATTAACTTTGATCAATAAACAAAACTATAGTACGGAGATCGTTAGCAAATTGAGCAATTAAAATTTTTTTTTAATTTTGCAATTAAATTATAGTTAAGTCAACTGAATGCCTTAAACAAATAAGGTTTCTCTTTTATTTTTTAAGATCGATTTTTTAGCATGTATGTAGGGGGGATAATCTGATGGAATAGATCTTTCGGAATATTTGTATGAGACAGAGGAGTAGGAGATAGAGAGAGAATGAGAGGGTCCCTCCATAGACATAGAGGCAAACAGAGAGAATGAGGGGCAAATAGACAGAAGGAGAGGGAGAGATGGAGAGAGAGGAATAGTGAGAGTGAGAGTGAGAGAGACAATGTGAGATAGAGAGAGGTAGAGCTGTAAAGATGGAGAGCGAGATAGAGAGGGAGAGAGAGAGAGACTGACAGACGGACCGAAAGACAGAGAGAATGAAAGAAAGAATGCAGAAATATTAGAAAGAGGCAGCACTACCAAAGAGAAGTTTTAATTAATTATATTTAAAATATTCCAATGTAATAACAAAATGATACCGCCCCTCGTACTCTCTCTTAAGTTACTGGGTATATCAACTAATGAATTATAAATTTCTATTGCTTTACTAATCTCCTCTCATACTACACAAATCTTCTATAATTTATTCAACCAGCAGGAATTTCAGCCCACTGACCTTGTCGCAAATCCCTAGAATATTATGTTTTGTATATATTCAGAAAGCGAACAATACGAGAAAAAAAACTTCGGACCGAGTCACGTACACTTTTATTTTTTTTTTTTTAGCAATTTTCAGATGCGCACGACATTTTCCTCAATATGCAAATAATGATTAAACAAAACAAAATACACAATAAAAAGGCAAAGCCAAGCAACAAGTAAAATATTTGCGCGCTTGATGACAATGACTAAAAATAGCCCAACAATTGAAATGTCGTTCCATATAAAATCAAGCTGCCTTTTGTATTTATTGTTATAGTAGTAGTAGTAGTTGTTGTTGTTTGTCGTTTTATTGTTGCTAAATTTAAAACGCAGCAAGTGAGTGGGCAAACGGGCCACCACCATCGACCAGGAAACATGCAGCATCCATTAAAAGGGAAAACAAACTAAACTGATTGCATAATACCCGTTCAAGATTCTAGAATTAAATATCTATGAATCTTTTTCAAGATCATTTGAAAGTAAAGCCAAAAACTTGGGTTTGCCATTACTAGAATCCATTGCTAAAGGAAATGAAGCTAAACTGACTGCATAATACTCGTTCATTAATCAAGTATCTATAGACCTCTCAGTAGAGCTACTCAAAATTAATGACAAATTAAAAAAAATATCTAATTTTAGCCTTAATTAATAAAGAAGAGTCAAATTTGACTGCTCAAATCTCGCTTAAGATCTTAAAATAATAAACTTTAATTTTATCTATATAGCTATCCGTAGATCAGCTCAAAAGTAAATCCAAAGTCAACTCGATTTACTAATTCTAGCTTCTAAATTGTGTAAACTTTTCGTTTTTAATTGGGAACCCGCCCACAAAGGAGGCGTGCACTAAAATTACTCTTAGATGATCTATAGACAATCAGAACAGCAAGTCAGTGGGCTTTGCTGAGCTTTTAAACATTG